CATACTTTGTGTTCCTGACACATTATTCATATCAGAAGTCACTCTTTGTGCTATTACCGTGCTCACGGGCGTCAAGACGTACGTGTACACATGCGGAAATCTTTTAAAATGCTCAAAATTATTCTTTTAAAAAAAAACTAATTACAGCAAATTTTAGCATATTATGACACTTTTCAATCAGCACCGCGTGATCTTAATGAGGGTCAAAGTGCGGCGGATCACCTAACTCGTCCTCAGTGACGAGTTCAAATCTAGTCTGTGTTTGTATCTGTTCTGACCTAACCCATGGTTACGGTTACCATGTGATGTTTAATAATAGTATTGCTTACATGTTTCAAGTTCCTCAGCGGCTTTGCTTACTGCCTCGACAAACGTGGGATCTTCAGAGTTGTCTGCCTCCTGTTGCGCAACCATGACAACACGCTGGGCACACCTGGCAATCTTTGAGGTACTCTTGATAAATGGAACTGGTTGTTCCTGACTAGCGGCAAACTCTGCTTCAACGGTCTCTTTGCGAATAACATCCTCTACAAGAAAGGTTAAAGGTTAAAGGTTATTCATTTTTTGACAACATTGTTCAACATTTTTTGTTATACAGATCAGTACATATATCATGAAAAATTTGGTGGTGGTGCTTAAATATAAATATGTATTAAACTAAGGATAATTTGTACGTAAATAGTTCTAATTATATTTTAACTATATAATGTAATAATACTGTATATGTCAGTCTTGCTTATTTGAGGATGGATTTTAGTACAAACCACAGGCTTTGATAAATTCCACTGAATCAGTTGCATCATCAACAAGTCGGGTCAAATTATTGGTGTTATTGGTCCATTCCTTCTTCAACAGATCAAAGTGCTCCACAGCAGCCTAGCATAAAATATGATATTAGAAATCAATCAACATAATAATGTACAAACTGGCCAAATGTTGCATGGAGAGCAAAGTTTACAGCCCAATGAAAGGATTAGTTTGGATGTTGAATGTTTATACTTACAGTACTATTGGGGTGGTAGAGAACAAGACGGCCGGCTGATATCACTTGAGGGGTAAGGGCATCCACCTGTAACAAAGAAAGCAAATTATATGTGACTTTGCTTATAAAAAAAAAAAATATTATAATCATTAGTATATTATACTTGTTGATATTGATTTCACTTCAGCTGGAACAAGTGTGCTGTTTTCCATACACCACAGGAATTAGTCCTCATAAAAATAAGCTATGTGGTTTCAAGTAGAGGTCACAAGTTCAAGAGGTTACATTTGTTGGTTGTGGTCATGTTTTTCTCTCTTCACACAGGAACATGAATGGGTATTTGATAGGAGGTGATTCGGATTTGGAATGATTCTGTATCCAAAGACCACCAAAAAAAAAAAAAAAACCCTGAGAAACCGGGGTTTTGCTAGTGGGCAGAGGGAAGAAGTTCCTCAGTTGGGGAGAGCTGGCTCCCCCGTCTGGGAGAAAAAAACAATTCATTGGGGAGAAAATAAAATTATATGTAATTTTTTACATATTAGTAGACTTTAAAATTGATTGGTATAAGTCTTTTGAAACTCCCTATGGATCACTTCCGAGGAATTTTGAGTGACTTTTCACCAGACCACGCCACTTACACTCTAATCAGGGAGTCCGCCCCTAGGTCGAGTACATCGGACTGCCCCTGCTGATAAATTATTTCAGAAAGTGATTGTGTTGTATATAATTATATAATATAAAACAAAAAGAAATTTGATTAATAAACTTCTAGTCAAAATCTATAAGCATTGTATGGATTGTATTCAGAAACAAAAGATTAGTGTTCAGTTACTAAATAACTTACAGAAATTACTAATAGGTTTAGAAAAGAAAATTTCTGGAAGGATGATCTGAATAATTTCCTGCATAGAAGGTGTTAAAGTTGACAAGTAGAGTACATGATATATAATTCCAAACTGCTGGCATTAATGATTGCCCATAATGCTACTGTTTATTTTTTATAACCTTTGTGGTGAATAATGTTGACTGCATAGCCAACACACTTACGTATTGTAAGAGTACTTGTTAGGCTCCTTATTATGCTGTGTAGGTGTTTTGAACAAGTAGACTGAACATGAATTTTAACTTCTCTACTAGACTTGCCACCAGACTTTAACTTATTGATTATTCCTAGTGTTAAAACCTTTCAGAGAGTACCTCCAGCATCTGTTTATATCGAGAAACATTTTATGTTGTTGAATTTGTGGAAAAATATAGTATAATGCCATAAAATAATATGGAATGCCAATGGTGCCAAAATCAATTTATCTTTAATAGTTTACTCTGATCAAGACAAGATTTAGGGACTAGAATCCAGTCTACTTCTTCACATACACTTGCTGCACTAGTAAGTAATAATTTAGTTTATTAATATTGCAAATGTAAAAGATCAGATTACTTGTCTGGTTGAAAATTTAGGAATTACCGGTATTTCGTGTGATTGAATGGAAATATAGAAGGCCTGATACATATTGAATTCTTTACCTGATTGGCGGCAGCATTGATTTCTTCTACAAGTCGCTTATCATTTGAGCCGCCGGCTTGGCCAATCATACGCGCCGTATCTGCCAGCTTGTTACTGCGCTCCAAGAAGAACTCTGCTTTGGTTGTGTAATTCTGCTCACGGTTTGGATAATCTGTAAAAATAGTTTAATATCACAAAGCTAAAATGTTATAACATTGTCTTAAACCTATGTTTACATTATTCAATTTTATGTGACAGCTACCTGTGATTATGACATTATGCCAATAATGGGTGTAATATGACATCATCAGCCCATGTATGGACAACTCACAGATATTTGTCCCAAAAAAATATGATAGTGTGGACACCGCTCTATTTTTTGACATTAATGTCACTAACATTGTCATCATGTTTATCGTCATTAACTTCACTTGTTGTTATTGTCATCATTAACATCGTCACTAACACCATCGCTGTCAATATATTTACCATCATCACACTGAACACCATCATCATTTTCATCATCATCTCAATGTATCATGTATTAAGTGTAAGTCCCAAACTATTAACATATTATTAATAAACCTTGTCACCTTCCTCATCATCAGTTTTAACTAAAGTTCTACACTGGTCACATCTTGTAATTTGTCCTACCTGCCGGTGCCAAAGCTGCTTCAGTAAGTTGTTTTAATGGAGTCACAGTGTCCATGAAATCTTCAGCAACCTAGTGGGTCAGGATAATAAAGGAAATTATATTAAAGATAATCTATGGAAACATAGAGGGTAAGAATACAAAAGGAAATTATATTAAAGATAATCTTTAGCAAACTATGGGTCAGAATGATCAAAGAAACTATAAGAAAATCTTTAACAAACTAATGGGTCAGAATAATAAAGGAAATTACAAGATAATAATCTTTAGCAAACTAGGGGGTGAAAATGCTCAAGACAATAATGAAATATATTGATGAATCTACAGCAACCTACAGTAGTTTATCATAATAATTCAGATAATATTAGTGACAGATAGACAAGAATCTTTCAGTAGTTTATCATAATAATTCAGATAATATTAGTGAGAGATAGACAAGAATCTTTCAGTAGTTTATCATAATAATTCAGATAATATTAGTGAGAGATAGACAAGAATCTTTCAGTAGTTTATCATAATAATTCAGATAATATTAGTGACAGATAGACAAGAATCTTTAGGAACCTAGAGTCAAAATAATAAATTCAACTGTAATGCTTTGGCCGCACTATTATACTTTCTGTGACAAATATCGGTGACTTCCCATATATGGGTGTGATGTCATGTCACACCTAAAATGGGCACATCTCAAGTATGTCATATTTTCATGATTATCATTTATATTACATTATTATATTGATATTATATTATGATCATTTATATTACATTATTATCATTTATATTACATTATTATATTGATATTATATTATGATCATTTATATTACATTATTATCATTTATATTACATTATTACATTGATATTGCATTATGATCATTTATATTACATTATCATCATTTATATTACATTATTATCAATATATCACATTACTATCATTTATACCACATTATTAAATTTATACTACATTATTATCAATATATTACATTATTATATTACATTACTATATTTATATTACATTATATTTATATTACATTATTATATTTATGTTACATTATTATATTGATATTACCTGCTTAACAAGAATCTCCTCCATCTTGTACTTGAGTTGTTCCAACTTGTCCGCTAGCCTTCTGGAGAGGGCTTGAGCTTGGGGACTGTTACCCTGAAATTTGGGGGTTTTTGAGGTGTTACTTATGTTACTTACTACACACACATCTGACTAAACCAGCATAAACTGCCAGAGCATAATAAACAACATCCTAAAAATAAATATCAGAGTGCTGCCTATTATTAATAAAAATGAGGAATGTTTAAAAATGTTATTTAACCCCATTATTAAAATATGTTCATATTTGATTTAATAAATTTCAAGAATCATATGTCTCCAAAATTTTCATATTATTAAATTATCATTATAAATTTTTAATATTATGATATATAGTATACACTAAATTATCATCATTATTTTTATAAATATGTTCTCAGTGTACATGGTGGTGGCTTACCATTCCCCTGCCACACAAGTTTGCCAACTCATTGGATAATATTTCAGTCTCATCGCTGAGTCTCAGAAGCTCCTCCTGGTCTTGTCCGCTGCAGTGGTTGGCAAGGCGACGACCTTCGTCAATAACACCTTTAATCGCTTTTAGGCCTTGTGAAACAACATAAAAGTGGTGGTTGTTAAGGAAAAGCAGAGAATTATAAATAAATGAATATATACTGTACTGCTTTGTCAACTATCATATTCCTGGACAAATATTTGTTATTTGTCCATATTTGGGCAGGACTATGTCAATACCCATATAAGGGCAAATCACTTATTTGTCAAATAAAATGTGAGTGTGAACAGAGGTTGACAAAATATATATGAGAAAATTATTACCAATAATTTTGAAAATTACTTAATTAATTCTGTTAAAATACATAAAACATTTTTTTGTGTACATCGAGTTAAAAAAAACCTATTGTGCCTATCAGAATTCAACCTTAATACTCTCCAATTACCTTTGCTATGCCAACTGACTTTTAGGGCTAAGATGCTACTTTGCATCTTCACTTTAAATACATTTTTTTTCTCAAGGCCTAAATAGATATTTTTTTAGAATTTTTACAATTGTTAACTTCTTCTCTGTTAGCCGACCTGACTATGGAGATAAAAAGCTTAATTGCTTTTATTTTTTTAATCCACCTTAGCATTTTAAATTTGAATTTTAAAGTAAATTTTATTGAACCATCTAAAAATGTTAATATTTCAAATCTTTTAAATTATGCCTATTTTACTAATAAACTTCTTAAATATTTAACTTTTAATGTTTATATATTTTAAAAAAATGTATATTCTGTAAAGCACTTGGTTGTTTCTTGTGAAGGGCCCCCACTCGACAGTGATTAAGTTCACTTTTGATGTGTAGTGTCTCACATTGTCTGTACTTGTTCTTTGCTGTTTCCTTTATTGTCAATTTTAAAGTTTTGAGATAAATAAATTAAATTAAATAAATGAAATTTTACAGAAACATCAATATGTAATTTATTATTTTTTCAATATGTCAGTTTTGAAATGATTCTTCTTTTTTAGAGTTTAAATATTAAATTCTGCATGCTATTAATAAACATAGGAAGTTATTACAAAGTCAATGGCTTTAAAAGTCTGTAATAACATGCCTAGCTTCCTATAGTCATATAATAATGTCTCTAGACTTCCTGTTTGTATTCAAATCCTCAGCCACATATATATTTACACCTTGATGAGCTTCCTCGTAAATGCAATTCATAAACTTACTGTAATAAAATATTCACGAGTGAAATATTCCGTTATTTTTATTTAATTTTAGCTACATTAGAATATATTTTAGTTATTACATAGAAGGCAAGAAGAAACTCATCTTTAACATGACAAAAAGTTCTCTAGTATTATTTATAATAATTAATAATTATTTACTTTTATAGCAATATTGAACTGATATTATGTTTTGTTTTTTATGTTCAGATGGATGCACTAGTATAGGTGTACTTCCACCATATTTCCACCACCTTGCTTGTTGTTGTCTATTGTGTATTTTGAGGTGAATTAGAATAAAATAAATATATTTAATGCAACTGGTAGAAAAGCCTTACCAACACCACCATCATCCACACCAGGTTGGGCTAGCCACTTCTGAGCCTGCTCGACCTTTCCGGCGACAGTGTACGCGGGCCTGCGAACCCCGCTTCTCTCAGCCTTCTTGACAGTGTGGTCAACTAGGTCCTCAAGACGATTCAACTTCTCTGTGATAACTCTAGATAGTTGAAGGGCCTGTGGCGAGTTACCCTACAGGGGGACAAAAAAATGATAGTATTTAGTATTTCATTCACATTATTTAATTTTAGACATATTTAAGATACTGTACGTATAAGGTTCGAACATGCTTATATCTTAGTAGTTATACAAAATGGCAATATATTTCTTTTCTCAGTGCACACACCCCCCACCCCCACCCTCTTCAAGATTTAATATCTTTCCACAACACAATAATAATACAGAGCCTCACTGTCACCTCATGGAATAAAAGCATTGGAATTTGCAGGCCTACTTGGATTATGTGGACAGAAAGCAGCTTGAAACAATTAAAATGGGGATTGGATTCAACACTAGTCACTATGCGCAAGCTCGGTGGTCTAGTGGTTATGGCACCAGGCTAGTTATCTGGAGGTCATGGGTTCGTTTCTCTTCTGAATCACTTGCAAAATTTTTTAGCAAGTATTTGGGAACATACTAGGTATAACATGTCAGGTAGGGCAAAACATCACTCTTAATTAAAATACTGTTGTCAATAAAATATTCCCATTGGTTGATCAGGCACAAATAGCCAACTTTTCCACCCAGAAAAATTCAGGACTGTTGAATTGAACAGGGTCTCCTTATTTACACACTTGTTTGTGCAAAACACTGTAACTTTCCCGTATTTATATCAACCCAATTATTTATATCTGTTTTCTTGAAAGTGATATTACAATATTTTTTGGTATTAAAAAATTCAAAATAAAAATCTCATTTCTTGTGGCTTTTTACTTACTTGACCTCTGGCTCTGAGATCTGCTAGTTCGTTGGTCATTACGTTGATGTCATCAACTAGCTTCAGGATTTGACTACTCTCCGGGTCATCACATCTGGCTGCAACTTTACGCGCATCTTCCAAAATCATTCTAATAGCTTGCTCACCTTCAAAAACAAATTATGATTATTATCATTATCACTATCATTATTGATCATATAACATATCTAATAACGATATTCTATAATTTGAATTATAGGTCAAGGGTTTGAAACCCTCGCTGTGCAAGTCGCTTATGTCCTTAGGCAAGACACTTTTTCTATGATTGTCCCCCTTTTCTGAGGAGTATAAATTGGTACTATGGTGGGAAGGCAAAACAGACTGCAGTGCGGGAGGAGTAGCAAACCCCCCCACCCCCCAAACCACAGCCTTGCACATTCTGGCCCAAACGCCAAGGAAAGAAAGACGGGCACTCCGGCATGTGAGCCACAGCTTCAGGGTTCGACCTTTACCTTCACAATAAACAATAACAAATTAGAATTTCTACACTATCAATCCTTTAGGCACAAGGACTGTAAGCAAATACTAACCTATACCACCGGGGGCGCTGTTTGGGTTACTAAGCCAGTCTTTGGCTCCCTTTAACCTTGCTGTAATGTTGCCAGCTGCTTTCTTCATCACTGTCAAATCATCTACGTTCCAGTCATCCTCATCATAGGTTGTTAATTGGAGAACACGGATTATTTCTTCGATTTCAAGGTACATCTGACTGACAACGTACAAACGATTGGAAGCAGCTTCGTCAAGGCCACGCTTTCCAGCTAAGAAACAAAAATTATATTTTACCAATTATTATATTGTAGTTTACTGTTAACATTTTCAATATTATCATCTTCGTAAAAATATTAACATCATTATTACCACCACCATCATTATTTTCCTCATTAATTATTTATCTAAATAATTATAATACAGAGAGTCATTATGTAGTCGATAAATATCTGGAACACAGATATCTGAAAGTCCACATTGGAGGGTGGTGAGAGGTATTTACCATGGATGTGTTGTTAAAGGTAAAAGTAGTCCTATATCTATTACAGAACATATGGGAATGAGCTGTCAGGAACCCATCGTACTAAGACTCGGCATTGTGTGGTAGGGTGGCCAGTTTCTTTCCACACGGCTTTTTTAACCCAGTAAATATAGCGATACTCCTGGATAAACAAACTTAAGTGCATTGTCGCAGGACAAAACCAAAATGCACAGCAAAGGTTCCAACCCTCGACCTGAAGGTTAAGGGGCTGAACGCTGTACTGAATGTACCTAAATAGTCAGCACAAAAGAGAAACATGTAACAAATATCTCAATGCTCTTACGTGATTGGATGGTTGTGACAAATATTTTGATGCTCGAGATGAGCACTGGAAGAAGATTTTTGATCTTGTCTTTGGAGGCAATGAGCATGTTACGATGAACTTGATGCGTCAGCTCCGCCTGTCTGCCATCTACCATTTTCACCATCTGTGTCATGCCTGGTGTCAGATTCTATAATAAACATTACATACCATTATTAAAAGTTCTTGATAATTGTAGGGTGAAATTCAAGCATAAAGTAATTTTAAAATTACCGCTGTCCCTTAGATTGGATTGGATTTATTCGGTGGAAACACCAAGGATAGCCCACGAAAGTCTAGAAGAAGACTTACTTCCAGTGGGTTCCTTCTGGTGGTGATTGGGCAGTACACTGGGAGACAATCCCCTACTCTTTTCCCAAGAGTGTACTGCGGTAACATGCACATGGGCCATAAATGCGTACGGGACCAACGTCTTAAACATCACCTCTGAAAGACGGTGCGCTATTGTAACTTGTATTTCAGGACTCCAGCTGAAACACAAGGAGAGGCAGTAATGGGAATTGAACCGGAGACCTAGAGATCTCCACGGTTCAGCACACACACACAAAGGTAAAGGTGGTTTATTCAGTGGTTTTGATTCCCTTGGCAAAGGCAGTTTGGTGTAACAATTTCAATTCCTTTGGGAAAGGCAGTTTGGTGTAGCAGTTTAAATTCCTTTAGGAAAGGTGGTTTGGTGTAGCAGTTTTGATTCTCTTTGGAAAGACGGTTTGGTGTATGGTTTCAATTCTAGCTGTTGAACTTGTGGTTGGTCGCTTGTATTGTTGACATGTTATGAACTGCTATGTCTCAAAGGTAACAGCAAGTATTACATGGCATATAAGTATGCCTAGAAATGGCTTTCTTGCCTTCGATTTCCATTACAATCGAAAGAGAAACTAAATTTGCATAATATTATGAAGTGAGTAGACTCAAGATTATACCTTTATAAAACTGTAATTCAAAAGGCTACATACACGCAATGCTCATGATACACATATTCTTAGGCCGGGCACTCACCGCGTCGTGTGACCATTAGCAGACGAATCCAACCCCGCACCCTGTGAGAGCGCTAGACGATTTGATGCTGTATGCTGATTGTTGGTGGATCTTCATTAAAAACGATCCATTGCGCGCGCGTCATGGCGTTGCGTTCTACATAAAATCGCGTCAACCGAATGACCATCGGGCGCAGTTACTGCCTGGCTTTACATACAGAAAACAGTACAAAATAAACTTTGTATCCCTAGACGAACTAAAACTACAGTTAATACTGCCAATGATGTTTAAATTTATAAAAATTTATAAAGATTTTTAATAAAAAGTTAAAGGGCAACCATAATAAAATAGTTCAAAAAATGTATTATAATATAAAAATATTGAAGCCACACATGCAGTTACCTTGACATAAACTATCAAATCCTCCATGCCTTCGACTACCTCGGCCACAGCCAAATACTCCTGGACACCTTTGCAAATGCGAATAATTTTACGGACTTCAGCCTGGTCTAACGACAACAGCAATGCAGAGGTCCCACCAAGAATTCCTACAAGTAGAGACAAAAATTAATAGGGTTGTAATGTATGTTTATAACAAATTAGTCATTATTTTTGTGTTTTGTTAAGCTGTAAGCAATATTTTTAACATTTTAAACGTTTTGATTGTAAAAATGTTGAAAACCTGTTTTAGTCATAATAAATTTATGCCATATCTTGGTCATCTTACCCCAAGGTTTTAGCATACGTAGGAAGTACTGTAAAAGTTTAGTACATGGGAAGCAAAAAAAAGAAAGCTATCCATATTTATTAATAGTTCTCTGCTAAATCTATCCAGAATATCACAATTTCCTTGAAAAAAAGCTGTTGTATGTCCATATATATTCATGATTTACCTATATATGGTCATGATGTGATGTCATCATGACCATATTTAAGCATGTCACATGTTTTTGTCAAATAAACTTTTATAGTTGACAGAATTTTACCTCGAGCTCCATTGATGAGTATATCCCTTGCACTCCTTGACAGAGGTTCCTGTCTGAGTGTCTTTGCCGCTTGAATCAGACTAATGCTGGCATTCTCCACTCTATCTAAAGCAACTGGCATTTCCTCCTGGAGGACCTTGTCTGTAGACGTAGCACTTGTCTGCCGGCCAACCTAAATCAGAAAACATTTGACCATGTAGTAAAACCCTCCTTTGAGACACCCCTATTAAGGGGACACCCTTTAAGGGAATATTTTTGCAGCCAAAAAACTGGGAAAGCTTTTAACACTAGCCAACCCCTACTGTATTCAGGAGTGTGTCCTCTTAATTATTATTAAGAGCTTTTCAATTGCACAACGATTGTAGGACGTAGAATGTAATGACGTCACTAAAAGTCATTTGTGCAAGTTCTCCTCGTTGTGTGGATTCTAGTACGCAATTTGGCCAAATCTACGTGTGCAGAGAACGTAGGACGCCCAGGAGGATGGTCACGCATGAGTGATTCCGTTCTAGCGTCGCGCTGTCGACCAAATAGAAAGCTCTCTGTTGCCTTCTATGACACAGATAGTAAATGATGGCAAAGCCAAGAAGGAGCAAAGATATTATAAATTTTATGTGATGGCAGCAGCAAAAATAGCAGAGGAGGATTTAGGGGGTGAGGGAGGGCGAGTAGGCCTCCGGGCCCCTTTTGGGAAGTCAAAATAAAAAATAATAAAAGGAAAAGAAATTATTGATAGCCCAAAAATGTCTCAGGGATTATTTCCAAACATCTAGAAAACGAAAATGTCTTGAGCATGCTCCCAGACCCCCTAGGGTACTGTTGTCTCTCAACCGGCCACCCCTTTCAACATCTCTGGATCCACCCCTGAATATTTAGTTACATTAAATTCCATATATTTTTACATTCAATCTCTTAATTTAATATTAGATTAACACGATTTACATAGTTTTAATTCAGTGTTCAAACTATAAGTTACTGTAGGTTCAATGAAATTTTCCTATGAAATCCATCAACAATTATTTCACGAAAGAATACAAACACCACATAACTTCATTTGCCGAAGTCCTGTGGTGTAATTGTTTGAACTCTGACTTTAGCATAGTGACCAAAATTTAATTCTTGGTACTGTAGGTACAGCATTATATTGACAAAGTACCTAAACATAAAATTCTAGATCTTACACATTCATTTCAAGCATTAATGTAAACTCTCATTCAATTGGCTAATGAGGAAAAGCCCTATGATTTGCTTTATCAACAGTTAAAAGTCAATTATAATTGTTATAAGTATAATAATCATCATTGGCACCACAACCAACTTGAAATCAACCTGAAAGTTGTTACAGTATAATTAAATGATATAGGTTAATACCTGAACCAAGTTGCCGACAGCTTTGGCGACAGCACTGACTGGCTGCGTGAGGTCAGGCATTGCAGCGCCATCTTCCGCTTGCTCGTGAAGGATAACCAATTGTGAAATCTACAGTAAGAAAATTAACAATATGGAAATTATATTATTTAGAAAAACTGCTAAAATATAAAAGTAAAAACACCAAATATAAAGAAATTATAAGTACAACATTTTTAAAGTCATTCCCTTTAAATTTTTGGCTCCATGCCCCACTCACTTGTTAAATGCCACAATGGGCGTATTCTGTTCTAATTTCATTTAAATTGTAAATATCGTAGAAAGCTAAAAATATATTCTCTTGCTATAAGCACTGCCTATTCTATAGTATACTTGCTATATATCTTGACCATATATGGTAAAAACCTCATCACTAAACTAGTAGCTCTCTGTCAACATTCCATGTAAACAAGGTGTTTTTCTATGTGAGTGGTTATTGCTGTGAATGTCTTACAGTGTCAATGATTTGGGAAAGAATGGTACTTTAATTATACAGTTCCAGATCATGATTATATGACCAATTTTACAAGTTTAGTTTTTAGTAATATCATCATAATTTATTCAAAAGATATGAGCTTCTATAGGTGAAAGTTTTAATAATATTAATATTATAATAGTAATACATTTATTTCTTCAAATACAGGAGGGCAAAGCCAAGAAGGAACGAAGTTTTTATAACATGTTTGCAGCCCAAACATCAAACAAGAAAGAAGAAATTCAAAATGGACAATATATTACGTCAATACACATACCCTGTAGTGGTTGATTAAACATTACAGTAATTTGACCTCATATGTTTTTTTGCATTTGTTGTAAAACTTTGTAAATTGAATCCCAAATTGAGCCATCAGCTGTCAATGATTAAATGTTTTGTACTGTATGTACCGGTATGCATTTGCCGTAAGTACCTGTATAGCAATTAAACTATGATGCCAAAAGTATCACTTCACTTTGCAGGGCCAATACATTAAGAACATTAGTTTAATCCCAGACTTTATTGTAATGATCAATAGTTACATTGAAAATGTAATAAATAATATTATACTGTAGTACCTATACCGACACATGGAGTTAAACATTATGATCATTAATTACGAGAAAGCTGAGCTTGAGTGGTTTAAATGTAAGCTATGATTGTAAAATTGTAAAAAAGAGGACAATCCAAATATTAAAATAAAAGATTGTGTGTGCATGGTGTGTGGGAGTATTTGTATTGGCCTTTAATTCCTTTGCAGGGGAGTTTTTAAGGTTAACATGTCTTAAATTTCACAAAGAGGCTAATACCAAATTAGGAATCAGGATGCAAATGAATAATAATTCCTCATTAACCCATGCGATAAATTTTTGACAAGTATTCAAATCATGTAGACGGCAATGATTGAATTTCAAATTACTTTACAATAATCAAAATACTAGGACAAATGCTCTTGTTCTCATTATTCTTAAGTTCTCCACGGGCAGGTCTAGCATTAGGCCAAATAAAATTAATTGTTTAGTTTCACGTTTGGGATTTGAAATTATTTTTTTGTCCGACTATTTACTATTTGTTACTTTACTATTCTATACTAGTGGTAAATACTATAGGCTGGAATACAAACATTTTTTTTAAATTAAAGTAGTAAAGGGAATGTTTTATGAGTTCATCTACAGCATGTTTCCACCTCTTCTTAGGCTTCGACAATCAATCTTTCTGATATTCATTTACAGTATTTATATTTTCCATGGAAATTTTTTTTTATAGCAATATTAATTGTTCATGAGGCTCTAAAATTTTATGAGGGCGGGGTTGAGTTTGATGATACACAGAGAGTCATTAAATTTAAATTTGAATACTGAATTAATAATTATTCAAATACATGTCCATAGAAGCCTGGGCCATCCATTCCTTTAATTGTACTAGTTATTCCAATTTTATAAATGTACAGTAGGTAATATTGATACAAAGAAAAAAACAAACCAAACCCTCCCAAGATTCATAAAAAAGTGAATTGAATAAAATGAATATTTTAAAACATGTTTTCATTTCAGTTACAATTTTTTTTGCTTTCAAATGAGCCCATCTCAGTATAATACTAAAATTTCTCTCCACTCACGATCATCTTACTAAAAATCGAAAATATACAGTAAAATATACAAACTCAACCAGGAGAGAACTTCTAAAGAAAGGAAAGTAGAAAATTTGCTGAGTGGGAGGATGAATCGTACAGAAACAATTTAATGTATCCATAACAACTGAGTCCATGACCTTTAACCTATCTATGATATGATTGGCTGGCTAGGTATTCCAGTGATGCCTTATTTTTGTATTGGAATCCCTGGTATGTAAGTCCATGGTTAACTCAAGTTACAGTACAAGCTTCTTCCTGTGAATCTTTTTATTTGTACTGGAATTACTGTTGACACAGCATATCAATAAAATGGGGTCTGTCTGTGCTGCTGAGGAAGAGATGTGGAAAGTTGGAATTCATGACTATCATGAGCATGGCAACAAAATTAAATGAAGATAAAAATTAGGTCACTGACTAACTGGTAAACCTTTAAGTTAAATGCCAATAACAATACCACACCGAAGTGTAAAGTATTTTAATTACTGTAGTGTGGATAATATCTCAAAAATCAAGGAATCGAGGAAACTTGCTAGGAAAATAAGTTTGCAGAACCATAACTAATGTACTGCTTAATTTGGTTGTATTAAGAGATAGCCAAGGCCCAATTTTTTGAAATACTGTAACTATGTGGAAATCGACCCTTACTTTCCAAAATGTGAGGACGGAATTAGCTACCAGGCCTAATATTCCCCAAGCAAGCCTTATTTCACAGTCTGAGGAATATATACTTTTAATTAAGTCTATTCAAATTGGCCATGTTACACTTTAAAGTCAGATTGAGGAGGAAAAACAAAATTATACAGAGGTGATTGAATAACAACTCAGGAATGGTTTGAATCTGAATGGTTTTTGACTGAATATTTATAGCCTCTCTGTGGTTCCAGAGCAAAATATTCTTTTGATATGTTGTACAACTGATTTTTCTAAGACATAAAAAACATATTTGATGAAAAACTTGGAGACGCGGTCAATGACATAATTGATGTCGAAACGAATCCGACATGATGGCGTGCATTTCGATACTTGAGTATGTATTATTATTATACTGTCAATGAGACAGGCTACAGATTTATTAATATTTAAAAAATGGGGAAAAAAGGGGCTTAACCATTTTTAACCTCCCCCAACCCCACTCTCCCCCAGTTTTTTAATATTCAAAAATCTGTATCTCATTAACAGGCTCTCACAAATTTTTGGTTAAAATGCTTTTTATGTCTTCTTAGAAAAATCAGTTGTATACAACATACTGTACTGTATAAAAAAAAAAATGTCCACTAAATTTTAAAAATTGCAATGCAAATCTATGTTGTGATACTCACTTACCTATTCTGAAACTGTTGTGCCCCCCCCCCCATTTGAAAAATTCTTGATCCGCTACTGAATTTCATTTATTAATGCAAACAATATATGTACTGTACACTTTCATTAGAAGAAACGGAAACAATTCATCAAAACTAGTACCTACAAGATGGAATCTGTTAAATACAAAGATGTTTTCCTTCGAATACCCAGCCGAGAGTCTGTATAAAAACCGTGTTTCAATTAATAGGCCTAAATGTTAATTTATCAATCACCGTTCATAAAAAAACAGACACTTCACTGACTTGTAATCGGCATGCATGTAACTGTACTGAATGCACCCTACTGTACATACTAGCCGACCAGGGACGTCAATCAGTTCACAGGTACCTACTTGCACGCACAGACGGCATACAAAGGGATTCTGCAGTTGGGCTTGCATTGAAGGCGGTGCCTCAACGTACAGTATGAGATTGAACAAGGCACTGTTCCCCATGAGAACATTGTGAAACTGCCTGCAGTTCAACATTTCTCTATTTATTGTTGTAACGTTTTGAATAAAATTACTTAGTCCATATTTTTTTAGCGTAGCAGAACTAATATTTTAAGCGTGGTGCACTCTTTGCTTATTTTGCCCAAGCGTGGCGGTCATTTCGTTCATTCGCCCAAGCATGGTGGTCCCGCCACGCTTAAGTATAGCTGGCGAGACCCCTGGTAGAAATCTTTGATCGATGACAAACAATGCAACGAAGCGTAACAAACAGAAATAACATAGCGTGTCAGCCATACTTTCGGGGATATCTCATATTACTTAAAAACATGACGGAGGGTTGTATCAACATAGTTTTTTCTTTTTAAAATGTTCGCAAAGGATAAGAGTAAGTCTGTATTGTACATCATTGTTTAGGGACGTAGGGTGGTTCCCATCTTTTTAAAATGTTCACAAAGGATAGGCTACAGTATATCTAAGTACTGTACAACATTGTTTAGGGGCGTCGGGTGGTTCCCATCTGGGGGTTGCGAAATTTGTTAATGCGGAACTACAAAGGATCATTGGTGTACTGTAAACGAAGCGGCCGAAGGCCCCCGAGACAGGCGCTGGAGCCAGGGGGCCGCAGACGGCCCCCAGTAGGGGTGTGAGTGTCCATAGCCTATTTTAATGTCGTTTTTGGCACAATTGAGTTTTAATTTTGTATCGTGATTTGACAAAATAAGCGTAATACATTGTAATTAAATGATAATACTTAGTTCGTCTGTAAATTAATTTCTTGTTACACATTGTTTCATTGTATAAAACATTTATTATAAGAAAATTTGTGATTATGGCACCTCCTTAATCTAGGCCTAGCCTGGAGACTAGATAGCCAGAAATTGCACTCTCAGACTGTGAATATAATTTTATTTCTGTGAAAAAGGCATTTTATATAATTTATCATTTCGTGTAGGCTAGACCAACTAGGCCTAGGCTAGGCTAGGCCTAAGTAGACCATCATAACGCGACCAAAATATATTGGTGGGCGGTTTCAGCAGTGAATCAGTTCGGCCGCGATGTACTGTAAACTAGGCCTAGGCTACTTCATCAATGCAGAACACAGTCCGGGTTGGAAGGTTCACAATAATGTCCTCCTAGCCTACAGTAGGCCTAGGGCCTAGCCTTAGGGTAGGCGGCGGGCCTAGGTTAGGCTAGCCTACAATAATAGTATCGTAAATATAAACCATGTACTACATTGCATTGTAAAGTCATAGACCTACCTGTTGGGCAACCGGGTCCAAAATAGACTCAATAAGTTTTGTGTGGAAAACCGGCATTTCGAATTAATCCTCCTATTCCAATAAAAACGAAAAAAAAAATCTGCCAAGTTCGGAAAACTTACTGCCGTGCCGTCCGTGCAATCAAAAAACCCAGCCGGCCAACAAGGTGTGCAGAGACCAGACACAACATCACATCATCAACAGAGGGCGCTACTTTATTTTTCAGAGCTGTCACAGCAGCAGCATAGTGAAGTTGAACAGCAAAAAGAACTTCTTTGCAACTTGTTCAAGCAGCAATAACCATAATTTCTTAGACAGGATCTGTCTGTCGGAATGTTCTTGTTTTCTGTTGACTTTACAATCTTCATGGCCAACCACCAATAACTCAATTAATTTTGTCTAGGAACATTGTTATCACGAAGCAAAAAATCAAAACAAATTTGTTAAAGCTTCATGTGCCCTAACTTACTCATAACGTACCGTATTTAATAATAATAATAATAATAATAATAATAATTGTAATAATAATAATAATAATAATAACGATAATAATAATAATAGTAATAATAATAATAATAATAATAATAACAATAATAATAATAATAATAGTAATAATAATAACAATAATAATAATAATAATTATAATAATTATAATAATAATAGGTTTGATTGTTCAGGAATCCTCAGGAAAACAATTATATTTTAGCAAAAAGTGTGGAAACTTATCCTGGGGGTCGGTTAGGCTTGTATTTTGTACCCTTCAGTCATCACAGAGATTAATAATTATTTGATCATAATGACTAGTAGCTGTCTCTTATACACATCTAGATGTGTATAAGAGACAGCGCACAGACGGCATACAAAGGGATTCTGCAGTTGGGCTTGCATTGAAGGCGGTGCCTCAACGTACAGTATGAGATTGAACAAGGCACTGTTCCCCATGAGAACATTGTGAAACTGCCTGCAGTTCAACATTTCTCTATTTGTTGTAACGTTTTGAATAAAATTACTTAGTCCATATTTTTTTAGCGGTCAAAATTTCCGGGGGCTTCGCCTCCTGAATTACTTTCGGAACCTTTCAATCGCGGCTCGAAAACCTTCACTTTGCTTTCGTCGGGGAAATCTGATCCCTCGTCGGGGGCATCGGTCCCCGTCGGAAACATCCCCACTCACCCCTACCCCTCCCATGGGGAAAATCCTGGCGCCAACCCTGCTTTCATTTCAACTTCTTGATACGTCGCGCAGAGATCTATCAATCTTGTCACAAGCTAAATATTTCATGAAAGATATCTCTCTTTAAATTATTATATTTCATTGTGTTTTATTGCAATACAAAATATAAAATTAACATAATAATTAAGAAAGTCTATTTTATTGGATGGACTATTCCCTAAAATAATTTAAAAATAAACTTATTAATCTGATTTCTGGTAAATGAAAAAGTGTTTTGACTACAGTATTGTAGAAAAATATTAGAATATTAAAAGTGAAACATCTATTATTAATCTACCGCCCTCTCATAATTTAAGTGGAAATTTAGCCTACTTTAAAACATAGCTAGTTATTATTATTAATATTATTATTTTATCAGAATTCAAAATTATATCGAAATAATAACAAGGTCAAATCTTAAGGTCAAATCGAATGTTATTTTACAAAAAATAGATATTAAAATTGCAACATAAAAATATGAAAATTACAATTAACAAATAAATATTTAAAAAAAGTTAGAACATTTACAATTTGAATTAAAAAGATAGAAATAAAAGATATAATAGATATAAAAAAAAAAACAAATTTACAATTGGATGAAAAAGATAATAAAAAACAAGGTCCCGCACTCCAAAGCTCCGATGAGGGCAGTATAACCATGGAGGAATTCTTAATATTTCCTCCATGGTATTATAGAGGTAGTAGAATATATTGGTCCTAACGGTCGCCCATTCAAAAAAGATCTAGGCCTATTACGCAATAAGCACAAAAAATATCTAGGCCTATTAATCAATCAGCCGGGTATTCAGAGCTCCTCATCGGAGCTATGGAGTTGTTGTTAGCAATGCGCTTAGGCCTACATCGATTGCAACTTATGGCAGCAAAACAGTGTCAATAACCATAGCAACAGTGATCAAAATTCAAATTCAATAAGCAATTATTTTTCGAACAAATAGTTTGTCAAATAAATTCCCTAAAGAATTTTCAATAAGTTTACTCCGCTTGATTAACATCAATTTATCCGATAGTGTACGATTATGTATTAGCAAAATTTGGATCAATGATATGATATATTTAGCTTAGTCTTAAGATTTCAGATACCGCCTGGAATATAATCGTCAATAATCAATATCCTATTGTTGTTCTAAAAATAGATAGATAGATAAAAAATAAATAAATTATCGATCTGTTGAAACGCTGTTTCTTAATCAATGAGGCGTTTAGGTACTTAACGTGGTAAGTTCAGGTTCATTGGAAATAACACTTTTGTAGCTGAGTAATTGTGTTGTCTGCGTCATCAGGATGCTATTTATTTGGGTAAGTTTTGTTGTATAGATTATTATTAATATTTATAGTAATAACTCAAATAATATTAATAATAACTCAAATCAAGTTGTTAATCATTTTGATCAAGTATAACGTTAGAATAGTAAATTAAAATTTCAAATATTTTTTCACGTCGTAATTAGTTTTAATCAATGAAATTTTAGGTGTTGTAATTTATTTGGCAATTATCAATGTAATAATTATTGCTTTTTACGTATATTTTATGTTTTTCCATTCTTATTATAGTTTTTGATTCTGTACATAATATTTTGTAATATTTACAGAATATGTATTTGTAAATGCAATGATTTCAGCCTTGGCTGCCGATTGTATAACTTCTGATATATACCAAATTCAATTAAATATAATTATATAGGCCTAAATAATGGATGGATGGTTGAATGGACGGACGGACGGGCGGGAGCGAGGGCAAGCGAACAAATAAATAAATAAAAGTGGTAATAATAATAAAACAATAATAATAACCATTATAATAAAAATAATATTGTTTCATATCATTGTCCATATTATTTTCATATATCATATATGCCTATATTTTTTTATATACATTTTATACAGGCCTATCATACCATTTTTTGATATATCATATCATTTTTCATATATCAATATCTTGTTCATATATCATATCATTTTCAAAATCTCTATTTTTCTGCAGGTTTTGATCGTTGTCTGGAACGTGGGCACGGGTAAGTCTCATATTTTCTTTTACGGCAGCACAATGTTAGGCCTCAACCTAACCAGCACGGCTAGACGTCCTACGCAGCACGTATGTTAGGCCTAGACCTACACAGCACGTATATAGGCCTATATAAAATAATTCTTTATTAAAGAAAACACAATAAAAGAATGTCACAAAAAACCCAGGTCATGGCTTAATTAGGCATATGCAGGGTGGAGGAAACAGAGACAAGAAAGAAAGAAAAAAAAAAACAAGAAATCAATTACAAATAAAGGCAATTCACCCACTCGGGCGAGTGTCTGGCGTTCCAGATAACTACTAGTCAATGCCAGTTCGCTAATTTACTTTTTATACATTTTACATCGCTTATTACTTAATTTTAAAATATTATTTAGTTTCGTTACATAAATTGTGAAAATGTGGACTGAGGTGTTGGTTTCGTTTATAAATAGCACATACATGTGGGCCTCATGTTTATTCATGCTTAAGATAAACAGCACACACACGTGGGCCTCATGTCTATGCTTAAGATAAACAGCACACATACGTTTGTTTCGTTTATAAACAGCACATACATGTGGGCCTCATGTTTATTCATTCTTAAGATAAACAGCACACACAGTGGGCCTCATGTTTATTCATGCTTACTAAGATAAGCCTGGTTCTCACGAGAGCCCTAGTATCCGGATCGGGAGCTAACCGTTAGCGCTAACCGTTAGCACCTGCGTGAGAACGCCCGATCGGTTAGCGCTAACCGTTAGCGGTATCCGGATACGCTAACGGTTAGCAAGCTCTATCGGTTAGCAAGTTGAGGGCGTGTCTATCATCAACCAATCACAAGTACGCGTTTACAATTTCCAGTTTGTTATTGGCCAGTGATTCGATCATCATATTGTTGGTATCCGGTTCGGGATTTTCTCGCATGGACGCACGGCAGCTAACGGTTAGCAGGATCCTGATCCTGCTAACCGTTAGCTGCTGTGTGAGAACATAGCCACAAGCAGCACACACATGTGGGCCTCATGTTTATTCATGCTTACTAAGTGAAACAGTACACACGTGGGCCTCGTGTTTATTCATGCTTACTAAGACAATCAGCACACACATGTTGGCCTCGTGTTTATTCATGCTTACTAAGATAAACAGCACACACATGTACTTGGGCCTCATGTTTATTCAGGCTTACTAAGTGACAGCACACAAATGTGGGCCTAATTTTATTCATACTTACTAAGATAGACAGCACACACATGTGGGCCTCATGTTTATTCATGCTTACTAAGATAAGCCTGGTTCTCACGAGAGCCCTAGTATCCGGATCGGGAGCTAAC